CATTGTGTTTCTGTGCGTGTTGTGTGTGTGGTGTCACTGGTGTGTGCATATTGTGTGTGTGCTGTGCTGTGTGAGTGCTGTGTGTGCTGAGTGCCTCCCGTTGTGTGCTGCGTTGATGCTGTGTGAGTGCTGTGTACGCTGCGAGTGCTGTGTGGATGCTGCTTGAGTGCTGTGTATGCTGTGCGAGTGTTGTGTGTGCTGCATCCCTCCTCACCCCCCCTGAACCCCCCCAAATCCCGAAATCCCCAAAATTTGAAATGACCCCGGATCCGTGCTCATCTCCCAATGCGCAGAACAACCCCCTGGACCGGAAAAATAAAATAAAAAAAATAGGCTATTTTTTTCACACGACCGGGTGACCTGGTCGTCGGGCATGACGCCCGGGTGACCGGCCGGTCCGGACCGGCCGGTCGTCAGAATCTTCCTAGAAAAATACTAGAAAAAGTTGAAAAACCTTGTAAGAAACCAGCAAAAGAAATTTTGCCTGCCAAAAAGCTCCTGCTGGGCACCAAACATAAAGGTTTGCCCCTCCCTGCTGTAACCCAAAAGAGAACCCAAAAGAGAACCCAAAAGAGAAGCGAGGTGTCGAGCTTTATTCATGTGCGGTGTCCACTCTTCAATTCTTGCCATTGATCTTTTTACTCTGGAGCTGGAACCAAGAAATCCAGATAAGCGGGGCAATGTCACAAGAGAGATTTATGATCTCCTTCAAGTCTCACAACAAACCATGAGTTATATATACATGGGGTAAATTTGTGACCCTCCCCTGAATAGAATCACAGTACAACCATGACGTCGTATTCTGTACACAGGAAGGGAGGTATGAAGTAAAGCCATGCTATCTTACACTTGGAGTTCCAGTCATGCACTGTGCGATGATGTAACCGAGGGCACAAAAATTGCCATGGATTTCTTCAAACCTGCATGCACAGATAAAGCATCAGGAGCTTTGATTTAGGGGGTGCCAGGCTATGAGCCTGTTTTACTCTCTCTACTCTCAAACAAAAAATATGCAAGTTCGTTAAATTCTGGAAGTTAAGGCTGACACACCACGAGTGTGGCAAATTTCTCACTTCTTGATGAACTGCACTCTACCTATCATACGTCTGTGACTCCGTGATAACCTAACCCTTCCTGGAGATGAAGTACAGCAAAACATGACAGAAACCACATATACACACAGCAGTGAACATTTCCAATTCCATTGAAAAAGGACACCAATAACCCACAAAGAACGCAACAACAACAAATTCCACCAGAATGCACAATATGCAACACGTTGTGTCATTTGACAAAAAGCAAGTGGACGCATACCTGGGCATTCGGGTCGGCGTGTAGGCAGGGATGGTGCCCCCCCC